GCCTAATCGACTGGGGGTTAGCACAAAGACTGGGGCTTCGGGTTGACCCGTTGAGTAAACCGGTTAAAGCGAGCGCACTTAATGGAAGTGCATTGTTCACTATAACCCATGTTACAGAACCGGTGGAGCTTCGCATCACCAATCACTGGGAGCGCATACAGCTGTATTTAATACACTCACCTCTGCACCATCTCATCCTCGGGTTCCCATGGTTAATTCATCACAACCCACATAAACTGGCGCACCGGGGACATTATGGTATGGGGGGAGGGTTGTAGGACCCAATGTCGGGAATCATGCCCCCAAGGGAAGAACCCCACGCTAAACCGTGTCGTCACTCACCCTGTCACAGACTCGGAGATCACTAATCTGACTCAAGTTCCAAGCTGCTACCACCACCTCGCTGAGGTTTTTAGTAAGAGCAAGGCCACAGCTCTACCACCTCATCGCCCGTTCGACTGCGCCATTGACCTTCTGCCCGGCTCCACCATCCCGAAGGGCCGTCTTTACTCTGTTTCCGGGCCCGAGAGGCAGGCCATGAAGGACTACATCGAATCCTCCCTGAGGGCGGGGTTGATCCGACCTTCCTCGTCCCCAGCAGGGGCAGGGTTTTTCTTTGTGGGAAAAAAGGATGGAACCCTTCGCCCCTGCATTGACTACAGCCCGCTTAACGACATAACCGTTAAGAACAGATACCCTCTACCTCTCATGACCTCAGTATTCGACCAGCTTCAACAGGCGCAGATTTTTACCAAACTGGACTTACGCAACGCCTATCACTTGGTTCGCATTAGGGAAGGGGATGAGTGGAAAACGGCATTCAACACGCCGTCTGGACATTATGAATACCTGGTCATGCCCTTTGGTCTCACAAACGCCCCAGCAGTTTTTCAAGCGATGATAAACGATGTGTTAAGAGACTTTTTAGACCAGTTTGTGTATGTGTATTTAGATGACATTCTGATTTATTCCCCCGACCTAAACACCCATAGGAACCATGTTGAACTCGTCCTGCAACGTCTCTTAGACAACGGGTTATATGTGAAGGCGGAGAAGAGTGAATTTCATGCCGATACTGTCGCCTTCCTGGGCTTTATCGTAGCCCCTGGGAGGGTTCAGATGGATCCGGCTAAAGTAAGCGCGGTAGTAGAGTGGCCAACTCCTGATAGCCGCAAGAAGGTACAGCAATTTCTCGGTTTTGCTAACTTTTACAGGCGGTTTATCAGAGGCTTCAGCGCGACAGCAGCCCCGCTCCATGCTCTTACCTCCCCGCAGGTGGCGTTTCACTGGTCCGCCGAGGCAGACGCGGCCTTCCAGGAGCTTAAGCGGCGCTTCACTACAGCACCCATCCTCACGCTCCCTGATCCGGCTCGCCAGTTTGTGGTGGAGGTGGACGCCTCCAATAATGGGATCGGGGCCATTCTCTCCCAGCGAGCAGAGTCTGACAACAAGCTTCATCCGTGTGCCTTCCTGTCGCGACGACTAACTGCAGCGGAGCGGAACTACGACGTGGGAGATCGTGAGCTGCTGGCAGTGAAGGCGGCGCTGGAGGAGTGGCGGCACTGGCTCGAGGGGGCACAGCACCCTTTTTTGGTTTGGACAGACCACAAGAACCTGCAGTACATCAAGAAGGCCAAGCGTTTGAATTCCCGTCAAGCCCGCTGGTCCTTGTTTTTTAACCGTTTTGATTTTTCCCTTTCCTACAGACCGGGATCAAGAAATACCAAGCCTGACGCCTTATCCCGTCTTTTCAGCCCGGAGCCCGTGGCCAGGGAACCTGAGCCCATCCTCCCACTACACTGTGTGGTTGGAGCGGTTACCTGGCCTATAGAGACCAAGGTGAAGCAGGCCAACGGTGAGACCCCCCCACCTCGTGGGTGCCCAGATAATCGTCTGTTTGTCCCTGTTAATCTGCGCCCACAGGTGATCCACTGGGCTCACTCGTCTTTGCTCACCTGCCATCCGGGCGTACGTCGGACCATGTTCGCCATCACGCAGAGGTTCTGGTGGCCGTCCATGGAGCCGGAGGTCAGGGAGTACGTTGAGGCATGCTCCGTCTGCGCCAGGAACAAGAACTCCTCCAGAGCCCGCGCAGGCTTGCTACAGCCGCTGCCCATCCCGTCCCGGCCGTGGGCAGAGATCTCGATGGATTTTGTCACGGGGCTACCGACCTCCAAGGGGAACACCACGGTGTTGACCGTGGTGGATAGATTTTCAAAGATGGCACACTTCCTAGCCCTACCCAAGCTGCCCACCGCTAAAGAGACCGCTATCTGCATGATGAACAACGTGTTTAGGATCCACGGGTTCCCCAGAGACATTGTGTCCGATAGGGGGCCCCAGTTTGTCTCGCGGTTCTGGCAGGAGTTCTGTAAGCTCATCGGAGCCACAGCTAGCCTCACATCGGGGTACCATCCCGAGGCCAACGGACAGACGGAGCGCCTCAATCAACAACTGGAAACCAGCCTCCGGTGCCTGGTGGCCCAGAACCCTGCGTCATGGAGCGAACACCTGACGTGGGTAGAGTACGCCCATAACTCCCTTCCCACCTCCGCCACTGGCATGTCTCCCTTCCATTGCGTTTTTGGTTACCAACCCCCTGTGTTTTCCGAGTCCGAACCAGAGGTGTCTGTGCCCTCCGCCCAGGCCTTGGTCCGCCGCTGCCGCCGCATCTGGGCAGCGGCACGCCAGACGCTAATCAGACAAGGGGACAGAGTGAAGAAAGCAGCGGACCGCAGGAGAAGACCGGCTCCAGTGTACCAGCCCGGCCAGCGAGTATGGCTCTCAGCCAAGGACCTACCCTTGCAGGTCGAATCACGAAAGCTGGCCCCTCGCTTTGTCGGCCCGTTCCCCATCTCGAGGATTATCAATCCAGCAGCTGTGCGCCTCCGTCTGCCCCGGTCCCTGAGGGTACACCCAACCTTTCATGTCAGCAAAATCAAACCAGCGAAGGAGAGCGCAATGGTGCCAAACCCCAAGCCACCCCCACCCCCTCGAATGGTCGAGGGGGGGCCGGTCTACACGGTGAGGAAACTGCTGGCGGTACGTAAGCGGGGACGGGGCAGGCAGTTCCTCGTGGACTGGGAGGGCTACGGCCCAGAGGAACGACAATGGGTCTCGTCTAGCTTCATAGTGGACCCGGATCTCATTCGAGATTTTTATAGAGCACACCCGGACATTCCAAGGCCGCCTGGTATTCGGCCTTGAGGGGGGGGTAATGTCACACCTGTATGTCAAGTTGCGTTTTTGTCCTGTCTCCAGTTGTTTTTTGACTTCCTGTTTTATTTTGGAAACTAACTCCCTCTCGTTTCAGGTCCCTTGCCCTTCCTCATGTGTCACCAGTCTGATTGTCTCCCCTGATTCCTGATTGTGTCCACCTGTTCCCACAACTCCCTCATGGGTACTTATAGTCTGCGTCGCCCCTTGTCCTGTGCCAGTGTGTCTTGTTGTTTTGCCCTGCACACCAGCCCTCACGTCACGAGTCAAGTCAAGTCCGATAACGTTTGTCACGTCCTTTTGATCCCTGTTACGTTTCCTCGTTTAAGAGAGATTTTGAGTTTTTGCCTTTTGAATTTTGATCTCAACCTTTTTCCTCATTAAGAGAGATTTTGAGTTTTTTCCTTGTTATTAATAAAAGCAATATCAGCTGAACCCTCTGCGTCCGAGTCCTCCTCCTCCCTGCCTGACAGTTATGGATTGAAACAAATCTTCCTTAGTAATTTTAAAGGTATTTGTGTTATGTATTCATTTTACAGATGACGCTTGAACACACCATGACAAAGTTCTCATCTTCACTGAGCAGAGCCTGAATGCATCACAACCCAACTTGCACCATCCACCAACACCCGTTGGTTAGTTGTTAGCTACTAGCTCTGACATTGAAAGGTTATTTACAATTCACAGAATCTAGATTATAGACTAGATAACATCACTGATGTCATTGTCAACGCTTTTACTGAACAGTGTTAAAACTTTCTTTACATCTCATGCTGCTGCTTTCCTTTTAATGCATAAGAGCAAAGGTTATTAATTAAACTAAAAGTTTTTCAGATATGGAATTGCTGGAGTCGGTATCCATACCAGCAGCAGTATAATTTTACATTTATATATGTAAAATATATGTATTATTATACTGTGGTCTATGGTGACCTCGAGAAAAAAGATTCCCTGTAAACATTTTGAAAAAAACTAAAACGTTGGAGCACAAAGCGAAATCAGGGAAAAACATCCCATGTGATCGTTGACCTTGACCGCTGATCAATACGGCGTAAACCCAACGCCAACAAGACCCCCCCGCCCCTCCATAATGAGACCAGATCCTCCACACACCTTCCTTAAGTCCAACAGAGGCTCAGTGTTAATGTGTGCATTAGTGAGGAGGAGGAGGAGGGTCCCCGGGGTCCAGCGCTTCTCCAACTTAATTATGACGAGGGTGGAAGGCGGGGGGGGGGACTAATGAACTGTAGGATTACAGAGGTGATAATCACTGTCTTGGTAGGTGCATTAAATGTCTGGCTCTGTGTCATAAGGCTGCGAGTCTCACAGAAGACACAAGTAGAACAAGGGGTTCCCAATAAGTCAGCGGATCGCCTGCCTTTGGAAAAAAACAATCACGTCGGTTGACCGAAAAAACGTTCTGAAGCGACCCTGTCTGACTCCAATCAGCGCTGGTCATCGAGGAAGGTAACGACAGAGCATGTGTGCAGAGGTTGTGGCGGCTTCTTGATGCTCCTTGTGTTGTTTCCTGCTTCCAGTTGTACGTTATATAGTTTTTCTTCCTGGTATATGTTTTGTACTTCTTCTTCCTGGTGTGTGTTTTTCTTCATCCTCGTGTCTCCACATGAGAGTGAGGCTGCTCTTCCTCTTCCTCTTCCTGCTCTCTTTGTTTTATTCAGCCCTCTGTTTGACGGGGCTCCTCTTCGGGGGCCTGGCATTTTCAGCTCACTGTGCCTTTCGGCCCCTGTGATTTCCACACACTCACAATGCAATACCTCCCTCCCTCCCTCACCCCGCCTTCCCGCTGAGGGGAACATGCAGGTCTCATTTACCCATGATCCCACACTCCGGCGGCTTCGTGTTTTTTGATGTCCAGAGGGGCCGAGTCCGATTTATCATGTTTTAAGATGACGCCTCCCATTCATCACCGACGGACACTCTGCTGCTTCATTAGCCAATATCAGACTGTAAGTAGGGAGCTAATTAAATCCAAACACACCCGTTACGTAACACACACACACACGTGCACGGTGGAGTGTTTAAAGAGCATCCCAACATGCTAATATTTGCATGTATTTGACCCTCAGCTCGCAGCGCTGCAGCTCCGCTCTCACAGCGCATTAATTTAGCTTCTGAATAATAAAGCGGCTCCTTTTCTTCTCTTTGGTTCAGATCACACCAACACCTGAATACCATAATGGGAAGGAGAAAGAAGAAGAAGAAGAGATTCACATGTAGAGAAAGATGAACTCTGCTGATCCGTAACAAATCTGAGTGAATTTCATTGTATAATATGTATATTATTGTATAACATCTAAAAATTGTTGCCTCGGTAACAACAAACTTTCCAGGGGTCCATATTTTAAATAAAATTATTCATACTGACCCACTATCCAGTGTCCTCTGTAAAATACTCAAGACAAACCCCTTCCGGTACGGCACGTATCGCTGCACGTCTACGAGATTCAAAGTAATCAATAAGCAAATCGCCTCTCTCAGATTTTAGTTTATAGGAATCTTTCTTGCCTTTGATTTCCCCGTCAGGAACGAATAAGCAGATCTGCCTCCATCACTTAACACACACAGAAGCATTTTAACCCTTCAAGGGACCCGATGATACGAGTCGAGTCGACAACCTCAACATGAGAATGTCTCCATCAATCATCCCTCACATGTTATATGAGTGTATACGTCGCTTAGCATGCTAACGTTAGCTAGTTCCAGCTGAAGCCAATGTACATAATTAGTTCTTAAATGTTCCCCTGATGACGATAACAAAGTAATTTCAGTTCATCTGGAACATGAATGATCAACATCTCATCACAATGGCTCCAGTATTATCGAGATTTTTCTCTCCAAAGCGAATTACCATCCGACCGAGCTGCTAGCGGGATAAAAAAATGACTCATGTGGGTTAATTCACCGGTTAAAGCAGGTGAACCATCAGGGAACAGCTTCCCTCTCTTTGATCCGGGTCAGACCCGACCGAACCGGACTGCTCCACCACCGCTCCGTTTGCCTCGTTGACCCCCCCTCGCCGATGGCTACCCAGAAGCCCCGGTGGGAGTGCTCGCCGCCGCCGAGGAGGAAGATTGTAACGATGCAAACTCCTGGAAGGGAAGCAAAGGCTTTGGACTGTGAGGACACAAACATGCACGCAGAGAGCCTCGCGCACTGAAATCATCCGCTTTATTTCCACACGCTGTTATCACATTCTCCGCTATATAAAAACAATACACTGATTAATCGTCATCACAGGTTTAATCATTCTGCCGAAGTAGAGTATGTAAATTAACGCTGGTGAATAAGCCACATGAAAGCAGTGTAAACAATAATAAAAACTTGCTTGGTGCTTGATGATGAAGACTGGGAGAGAAAGGAAGACTCGTTACGTTCCCCCGGATTACCAAAGGTGGAGGGATGTCCAGCCAGTCCCTTGTGGATGTTAAACCCAAACACACACAAGCAAACATCTGTTAACACAAACGCAACCAAACAAACAGGAAATGACATAATAAACAAACCATGGATTTGTTATTTTTTTTAATGTTTTGACGATTTTTTTTGTTGCACCACTTTGGATTAGAGTGAAAAGACGATAATCCCTCCAGCAGACAGACATTAGCACCCACAGAGCGCCGCCGCTAACAAGCTAAAAGCGCACGCAAGCACTCAGGCATGACCGCAATACACATGTGGACAGGTTTACACACACACACACACACACACACACACACACACACACATTTATGACATATTCATCCTACATACAGGTATATTTAGTATGTTAAAACCCCCCCCAACACACACGCGCCTCCCATAGCAGCGGTGGCGTCTCCACAGCGCCCCCTGGGTCTCCGCTCACAGCTGTGAGGCTCCAACAGCAGATTAATCATCTGTGTGAGGCCTCGATGATGGATGAGCCGCCGCCTCCACGCCGCCCCGCCACGCCACGTCGCTGCCGCTGCACTCTGCATAGCCACCGGTTAAGAACTTTAACACACGTTTATTTATATATACTATTATGTACACAGAGGCTCTCAACACATCCTCTAAATTTAACAATGTTCTATATGTATGTTCACTTATGGTTAACGTGTTAGCTTGTACCGTCATAGCTAAAGTGTTAGCATTTGTAACTAGCAACCAGCGTCTCATACATTTATATTTTTATCCAAAGGCCATTCAGTAGATTTAATATGAGTTGTTTGAAAGATTTCTGACCTAATTTTATATAACATGAACATTTTTTTCAGCTCATCTCGGGAACTGACCTCTTTATTTTAAGTAATCTACTTATTCTCCCTTTTGCTAGAACAAACATAATAGTCTCCTGAAAAGACCTTTAAGTCGTTCATTAATGGAAACTTTTTTTCCTCTTGACGGTTCGTGGGCTTTCTCTTCAACAAATTAGAAGTTATATCAAAGGAACGTCTTTTAGAGTTTTTCGGTGGAAATTATTCAAAATGCACAGGAAATAAATCTGCACTATTTTATGAAGCTGATGGTAATTTCTGTTGTTTCCTCTGACTGGATGCGCGATAATCTGCATAAGCGCATTTGGCTGCGGCGGAGAGTCTCTCCAGATGGATTTCTGTGGCTCTCTGATCCGTGGTTCCGTGACGCCGCCTGCTGTGGTGGTCCGGCCTGTCAGGGTGGAGGGAGGGGGGGCGCCGGGGCCCCTCCACGGGCCCTTTATGTTAATCCCGTCATAATGTTATTTAGATCAATCGATCGGGCCCACGCTCGCCGGGCCCTGCCAGCTTTTTGAGGTCAGGAGCCACCGGGGGGGCTACATCTGCACAAAAACGCGGTGGCGCTGGGACGTCCCCTCGGAACCCGGGCGGCGCCCTCCTCGCGGAGCTCTGGCCTTTTCCCCTCGCCAGCCCGTCAAACTGGAGGCCGGCTGACAGCGAGTCCCGAAACCCCGCCGGACGTGACTCCACCTCCTCCTCCTCCTCCGCCGATGTCAGGCGCTCGGGTATCACTCCGACTTATTCGCCAAACCCCAGCTCGCCAGCACGCCGATTGAAAAAAAAATAATAAAAAGACCCCGCGCCGTAAAACTCAGTGACCTTTTACTGTGGCGTCGGCACAAAGACTTGTAAACAAAAATCAAATGTTCGGTCACAAGTCAACCGAGAAACACGAGCGCAAATGTTGGAACTCGTGAACCTTTTTGTTCGAGGTCAAACCGTCCGCGATGTGGACGTGCTATAGGAGACGGAATGGACCACCGGGGGTCTACTAAGAGACAGTAGGTACTTCCTGGTGTCCACTTAGAGATGGTAATGTAGGTTCAGGTGTCACAATTTGAAATAGTAATATTCTTCGAGGCGTCCAATGGACAAGCAGGTGTCCACATAGGGACATGATATACTTCCAGGTGTCCACATAGGGACATGATATACTTCCAGGTGTCCACTTGTAGACATTCATGTACTTACAGGTGTCCAATTGATAAGCAGGTGTCTCCATATAGACGTCAGCAGATTCCCAGATGTTCACAACTATCAGACTGACACCCAGTCGTCCACAAGACACTTGAGTGTTGGGTGTCCTTGTCGACTCCTAGATGTATCAGAACAGACTCTCATGTGTCCACAGATATAGAAAACACTCTTTTGTGTCCACAGAGACAGAACTGACTCTCAAGTGTCTACAGAGACACAACAGACTCTCATGTGTCCACGGAGACAGAACAGACTCCAATGTGTCCATGGAGACAGAACAGACTCTCATCTGTCCACAGAGACAGAACTGACTCTCACGTGTCTACAGAGACACAACAGACTCTCATGTGTCCACGGAGACAGAACAGACTCTCATCTGTCCCCAGAGACAGAGCAGACTCCAATGTGTCCATGGAGACAGAGCAGACTCCAATATGTCCATGGAGACAGAACAGACTCTCATCTGTCCACAGAGACAGAGCAGACTCCATTGTGTCCACAGAGACACAACAGACTCTCATGTGTCCACAGAGACAGAACAGACTCTCATCTGTCCACAGAGACAGAGCAGACTCCATTGTGTCCACAGAGACAGAGCAGACTCCAATGTGTCCATGGAGACAGAACAGACTCTCATCTGTCCACAGAGACAGAGCAGACTCCATTGTGTCCACGGAGACAGAACAGACTCTCATGTGTCCACAGAGACAGAGCAGACTCCATTGTGTCCACAGAGACAGAGCAGACTCCATTGTGTCCACAGAGACAGAGCAGACTCCATTGTGTCCACGGAGACAGAACAGACTCTCATCTGTCCACAGAGACAGAACCGACTCTCATTAGTCATAAGAGACAGAACAGACACGTAACAGTACAAGGATCCAGAGCAGACCCCGTTGAGTCAGTCCAGACAGAGCACACTCCAATGCATCCAAGGAGACAGAACACACTCTCATCTGTCCACAGAGACAGAACAGACTCTCATCTGTCCACAGAGACGCTCGTGGAACGACTCACTAAATATTTTCACGTGAGCTTGTGGTGTTTTTTATTTTCTCGTGTCCACTGAGCAACACGTTGCCTTCGCACAAACACAAACTAAACTGTCTCCGTCTCTATCACACACACATACAGACACACACTCACTTCCTCGTCCACATGAAGACAATACACCCCCCCCTCTCTCTCTCTCTCTCTTTCTCTCTCTCTTTCTCTCTCTCTCTCACACACACACACACTCACTTGTTCGGCCTCCCCCAGGACACACAGGCGTTGCCGGAGAGCCCGGCGCTCTCCCCCGGCGCCGCGGTTCACCAGGTGTTGTCTGCAACAGGCAATTAGTAGAATAGGTGTAGCTGTCAATCAGCCGGCTGGAAGATTAGCTGCTTGGCCGTAATTAGCGGGTTAGAGGCTTCTTGGCCCAGAGGATAAAGGCTTTGCCAATAATGGGCCCGGGGGTATTAATTACTGAAGGTCGAAGCTGCCGAAAAGGCCAGGATCTTAGCAGCAGCGCACGTAAGATGATTGTTTAAATTTCAAAAATAATACTGGTCTGACAGTTGTTGGCGTCCCGCGGGGCGGCGGGTACAAGGTAGCCGAGGTAATTAGTTTGAAGAGGGAAAGGGCATGGTTACAGGCGTGTTTGTGAAGAGCGAGGGAGTGAGGGAGGGAGGAAATACAGAGAAATGTGAAAAAATGATATGAATGTAAGAGGATGGAGAGGGAGTTGTGGGGGGGGGGGGGGTAGAAGAGAGGGGGAGGAAGGAAGGGAGGAAATATTGAGGGCAAATCCGGAGAGGCAAATAAAAAGAGGTGTCAGAAAATGAAATGAAGGAGGGGGAGAGAGAGAGAGAGAAGGAAATAGGAGGGAGAGAAGGATTAGGAAAGAGAAATGTTAAGAGTTGGAGGTGTAGAGAATGTAAAGATAGAAGAGAAGGAGGGAGAGGGGAGGAGGATGTTAGGTAGGGAGGGATTAGTGAAAAAGAGAAACTGAAGAGGAGGAGACAAGGACAGAGGAGGTAAGAAGAGGAAAGGATATCAGGAAAGGGGGAGGAAGGTAGAAACAAGAACATGGAGAGAAGAGGTGAACACAAACATAATGAGGAGAAGACGGAGAAAGCGGGATGGTGAAGATACATAAGAAGAGGAGGAGAAAGAATAGGATGCCCTTGTGGGATAGGAGAAGAGAAAGGACCATGAGGAGGAGGTGAATGAGAAAGAAGAGGAGGAGGATGAACAGGAGGAAGAAGAGGATGCACTAGTGGAGAGGAGAAGAGAAAGAAGAGAAAGGAGGATGATGAATATGATGACACCCTGTGTGTCTCTACATTGATCTAATCACTTGGCTCACCTCCTGCTTCAGAGGAGATCACATTTATGGTGATTATGAGTTCAATGAACTTATTTTGACTTTTTGTTCTCTGTATTCGGCTGTGAAACCGAAGCAGAAGGAAACCGGTTGATGGACTGATCCCAGATCAGCTGCAGGTGACAGAGAAACACAGCACAAAATATGGACCACATGGAGGTGGATGATAATGAGATGTTTGACAATTTAAAGTAAATTATGTTCCTTAAATCAAACAATGATCCATGCAAAGCTAAAATGGTGGGTTGTAACTTCAATAGAAATGAATCAACAGCTGACCTCAGCACGTGGAGGTCATATTGTTATAAAGAAGAATGTCTAAATATTGGAGTATTTAGAAGTGAAATATTCATGTAAGAATGTCTCAGTTTCGTTTTACTGCCTGTGGCACACAAACTAAAGCTTTGACAACAAATGTGACACCAAAGCAGAGAAAAACATGAAACCTCTCACCTACGGTTTTCCAGTTTACTTCCACACCTTGCAGGTGTTCTGAAGGTAATCTCGTTGGTTCTTTCCTGAGATAACTTCTCACCCGAGAATCGATCAACTTCTTCTACCTCCGCTAAAGTGCAGTAAACATATTTCTTCTTCTGCTGCTCCTGTCGCTGTGAGACTGTAACATCACCCGCATGAAGACATCAGCAGGTGAGGACGCCGATATTTCCCCCCGGATGGAAACTGCAGCTGGAAAATGAACTCGGACGGGATTTAACGTGGAGGGAAAAACAAGCAACTTAAAAAGAGCTCACAGAAATATATGAACAATGTATTTACAATAAAAAGTGCAGGATTCTGCCTTGAGATCTGTTCAAAATGTTATTAACAGTGATAAGTGACAAAAAGTAATAAACAGCATGTTGATAAACTCAGTTTAATTAAATGTGGTTCACGAGTTGGTTCTTGACCTTAAAACCAAGTAAACAGAATAAAAAGAACAAAAAAAACGTAAACATGTGAAACACTGCATCGATTCTTGTAAAATATATGACGATCATTTGAATTCTTTAAAGCTGCGTTATGAATAAATACAGTTTAATTATTCATAAGCAAAAGCACCAGAGCCGCCACTAAACAGACCTTTTGGAGAGTTTTCATTGCTTTTGTTTTGATTATAGAACATGTTTTTAATCATGTGTCAAAGTAGCAGCTTCACAGAACTAAAATAAAAAGCACTTTTCATGCAGAATAATAGTGATTATATCACTGGATTATAATTATTGATGCATTCATTCCTACATTTGTTGAATGCTGATTTTAATCACTTGCTGCTGAGTGGTGTACTTTTAATAATGCATCGTCATTTATATGTCTTATTTGTTTAGTTTTAATAATCAGAATTCATAAGGAACTGAACCAGTTAAAATACAGTGTCAGTGTTTTCTTTTTCATTTTAATAAGCAAACATTGTGACACAACACAAAAAACAACAACACTCAAACACCCACACAACTTTAACTCGCACTGCTGCAACTCAAAAGAGAAATATTAAACCGGGCAGAAGCTCAGTTACAGTCCAGTACCCCCCCCTCCCCCCTCTTTGTCCCCCCACTCCATGGCGACCCTACAGTAAATCTCTCTTCATGTAAAACTCTGCACCTGTGGCCCCCCGGCGGCTCCTGATCCGAGGGGCCGCGATAAACATGTCAGTCCACCACCCCCCCCAATAAATAAACATAAAAAACACAGCAGCAGTGCATTCTGGGAGGAGCCAGGGGTCATTACTATGTGTGCATGTGCCGTGGGATTTGAACCTGCGGCTGGAATCACCGGTTGGGGACGCGAGCCGGTGGAGACGAGGAGTTTATCATTTTTATTCAGACAGTTATCTCCTCGGCTCATTCAAACTCACGCAACTTTATTTACACAGCGGATCCGGGGTCTGCCCGGGTCGGCTTAGGGGTTGTCAGGGGAGACGGGCCCGGAACGATGAACGATGATGGACCAAAAGGAGGGTAAAGGACGGGTCTTTACCCCCAAAAAACAAAAACGACGTCATAAGAATATTGCAATCATTTAATAACTGGACCAGATCTCTACCGGAGACGTACACACTCCAGTAGAGATCTTCCTGTTTACTGTTTGCAAAAGAAACCACAACGCGGCGGCCGTATTGGTTTGTAGCGACAAACTTGAGACTTCATAACTTCGGTGCTCAAACCAATGAGTGACGTCGCCATGACAACGTCCACTTAATACGAACAGTCATGGGTTCGGCTCAGTATCATGTTGTTATGGGAAATTAAATCAACTTGTTCTTTTCGTTTTCTTTTGTGTTAAAATGGCAAAAATAAGTACTTTCAGTCAACTGTTTCATATCATCACGGATATAAAATGTCTGTGTTTGTTCATTGTTTTTTCTTAAGTTTGAGATCCTGTAACACTAAAAACTTTCTTCCTGCGGTTCCGTCGTTGACGCGTCGGCCGGGGGGGGCGCGCTGAGCTCAATCCTGCCGATCACTTCATGTAATATGGAACAGGCGGAGAGACGCGGCGAGCGTCCTCATTAACCTTTGACCTCGGCTCAACTGGAATCAAAAAACGGAGGGAAAAAGGCGAAAAAATGAGACAAAAGCGAATTAACTTGTCTGCTCATGGAAATTAAATGCAGTGATGTTTTTTTCAGAGTGTTTAATAATGTGTGACGAGAGGTTCATGATCTGCACTCACAAAGACTTCATTAAGTTCAAACAAGAGGACCGTGTTTTAAATGGATTGTTCTCTTTGACCCGACAGCCGAGGCAGATCTGATGAGCAGATGAATATCTTCTAAATTTTGATTATGAATGTTTGTGATGAACCAAAGGATGAAGTGTCCTCCTGCACCACAATAAACTCTTTAAAAAACATCTGCTGGAAACTACAGCCTCAACGCTGCTTTGAGTGCTTTTAAAATACGTCGGTTGGAGTACTTTTTTTTAAGTATTGGGTCGGAATACTTCTTTCACTTTTGACTGATATAACTGAGTTTAAACCAGGTGGCAACACCTGGCTCTGTGTATCCAAAACGTCACGTTTTGCATGAGGTGCATTCTCTCTAGTGAGCACCAGGAGGCGACTCCTCCGGTCCTAGAGAAGAGTTATTTGTTTCATTCTGCTCACAGTGCTTGTGCTAAGCTAAGCTAAATATATCATTGAAAAGGTCCATATCAACAAACAATTAGACGACAACCACTGGCACTGAAGAGTGAAGCCGAAGTGTCCTGTGAGGAAGCTGCATTCTCTCTAGTGACCAGCAGGGGGCGACCTATGGAAGTCGACATCTTTCTTTACTTATCCGCTCAGTAAACATTGTAAACATGAGTTTATGGTCAATCAAACCGACCATAAAGCAGCGGCTGCTTTAGGGCGGGGCTACTCGCTGATGACAGATTTCAGCGTCTCTACGTCCTCGGTCCTCACATGGTCACTTCCTCTCCACTGGTTACGGGAAAAGAAAATGGCAAAGGCAATATTTCAAGACGGCAACGGCAAAACCAAAGGCTTGAATACATCTGTCCACAAAGCCACAGAGGACATCACCATGACAACGTCCCCTTCTTAAACATTATATGAGTCTCTGCTTCACCCAAGTGGAGGAGACACAAATCTTTTCCTTCATACGACAGCATTTACAGATGAGCATTGACAGTGTGTGTTAGTGTGCACGTGTGTTACCTTGGGGTGAGGAGGAGAGGGGGGACGGGGGGGGTGGGATGGCACATCCCGTCCCGTCTGTAAACCTCCAGCTGGCATCGGGCTCCCGGCAGACGAACCCACCCCGGACCCGGCACCTTGTTTAGCAGGAAAACAAATGGCAGATGAGAAGACATTAAGTTCCACATGTTAGGCACAGGTGTCTGAGTTACAACGCGTATCACAGAAGAAGAAGAGGAGGAGGAGGAGGTTTACCGGTGGAGGATAAGAGCTGTGTCTCTGGGGACGGGGTTTGGGGGGAAGGGGGGTGGGATGTGCTTTCGGTTCCCACTCGTCCTGCAGCGCTGCTGTCTGATTGGACGCTGCTCTCGGCTTCTCCCTCTCGGCTCTAATGGGGCCTGAAAGCCAACATGCTGTTTCTGCTCCAACAATATTTATTCTAACGTCTGCTGCGAAGCTTTTTTTGTGTGGGATTTTTTCTCCCTGAGATTCGGAGCCGTCGGAGATCTTTAGGATTCAGGTGTCTGAAGCTTTTCTCCTCCTACGGACATTCAACTTCACTTTTATCTGAAGGTGTCTGATTTTTACTTAATTCAGAATCAAAATCACATTACGTTTGTTCCATTAGGATCTATCTACATCTATTAGGATTTTGGTAGTTTTTTTTATTTTATTACTTTTGAGTTTATATTTGTTTAAAAAAATGTATTTACCTTTCATCTGGTCGAGACAACATGTGAGGTATGGGTCATTCACTTTTAATGAATTCCTTATTATTTAATACAAAATGAAAAAATAAATTAAGAGTACAGTAAGTGTCATCTAAAGTCCAACAAAATCTTCAATTTTCCTTAAAGACATTTAGAAGAAGGAAACCTGCATGACATCATCACAGAACCAGTTCATATTTAAATTAGTGCCGTTGGGACTCATTTTCATTAAAATAAGAATTATGTTCATTATTGACTGCAAAAAACATAACCAGACTTTTCTGATATAATATTACAAAGAAACAAATTAAAGATACAGTAAAAATTAATATTCTTTTATGATGCAATTGGGAAACCGTTCTCCCAAGTTCTCAGTGATTCATTAATTTGTAGAATACTTAGATTACAATAGTTAATAAATCCGTGTGTGGCCGGGCCGTGTGTAGGTTGGTCTACTTTTGGTTGCAGGTAAAACAAAACCGCATAATACAAAAATCAAATAAAACCTCAAATGCACAGTGCAGAAAAAAACTTGTGTGTGATGAAATAAACATTAGTGAGGAGGAGGTGAGCTCCTCGCGGACCTCGGGAGGCGGCACGGCCGGAGGAGGAGACGCTCGGGGAGTTTGGATGCTCGAGCGGTCGTCTCCTCTTCAATAATGAAACACAGAAAACATGTCGGTGAAAGAAAACAACAAATGTGATCCAGCGTAAATCTCACGCAGAGCGTTTCCCCTCCACCCGGTGGCCTCCCCTCTCCTCTCTCCTCGCCTCCGACCGTGGGGGCCCGAGGAGCGCCGCCCCGACTCCATGTTGGATTCAGAGCGAGGCGGCCTCGGGTGGAGAGGCTCGCAACCAAAACCGCTCAGAGTCCGGCGAGCAAAAGCGCCAGCCTGCATGCCCAACTGTTGCGGGATTTAAACAAAAGGATTCAGCTTCCACTGAAAGTCTGTTCCTGATTTACATTTTACATCCACGGACAGAGAGGAAGAAACGCAGAGCGTTACTGGCGGGTTTCCAGTTTCTCTTGTCGCCGGCATCTTGGTTTTGCAACCAGAGGACAGCAACCTTACTGTGAAAGGTTAACAAAAACACAAATAACATATAAACTTCAAGTCTCTGGTAGAGACCTGTCAATCAGCGTTAAGCCCCGCCCAAAAGCATCGCCTGCTTCTGACTCTAAATGCACCATAGTTTACTAAATGGTCACACATCACACTGTAATGAAGAAGACTTGAAAGTAAAGATGGAGACCAGAAAATTAATGTTTACAATGTTTACTGAGGGAATAAATCAAGAGAGAAGCAGAGTCATTTTCTCATAGACTTCTATAGGACCAGATAAGTCGCCCCCTGGTGGTCACCTAAGAAAATACAGCTTCATCACATGACGCTTCGGCTTCACTCTTCAGAGCCGTTGTCGGTTGTCATCTATGTGTTTGTTGATGTCGACGTTTCCCATGACATATTTAGCCTAGCTTAGAACCAGTAATGTAAGCAGGACAAATTACAAAAAACATTGAGAAGAAATAAAGGTCTGGAATAAAAAAGGTTTTTATCACAAAATGGATACTATCTAGTGTACCATTATTATTATTATGAAGACGCCGCTGCTGAACAGCCTCAACTCATGTCTCACAAGTAAAAAAATTCAGTAATTATTGCAGAATGGCTAAAATTATACCCTACTGTTTAGTTTATTTGTTTATTTGAATCCCACAGTTTGTCATTTTAGAGTGTTTACTATAAACCAGTACTGCACTAACATATACACCCTGAGCATATCATTTATATTGTGTATATATAATGGGAGAACTATTTGAGTAAAATAAATCTAATGAAGTAAAAAGAAGATCCCTCTGAAGCGGAGTGGCGAATAACTATAAACTATAAATGAGCATGAAACGGAACCACTCGAGTGAGGTTCAGGGTATTGGGATGAAGTTGTGTACTTGAGTAAACGTACATTTCCCCACAGACCTGCTTCCTCGTGCTCGTTGCGCCTAATGACGCTAACGTGGGGAGAGAAAGCCACAGCGTTGCACCATTAAAACTGGAATCTATGAATAAGAAGTAATAACTGCCGGAATGTACTTTAGCATCACACGTTGTTTAATTCTGTCCGTGTGTTTTTAATTCATGTACGTGGATGAAAAAGCAATTTATGATGAAAGGACAAAAT